CTAAACTGGATGGAAAGAAGAGAAAGGGGAGTTAAAGTTCCTAGTGAGAGTGAGTGTTTGGAATCTCTTTGCCTCCCCTTTCCTCACCACACACCCACCCAAGGATTAAAGCTGAGTTAAAGCCTCTGCTACTGGACTGGACTGAACTAGGGAATTAAAGAGAGCAGCAACGAGCTCAGGTAATTACCAACCAACCCCAAGGAAAGGAGTGTTTCATTCCCTGCACCACTGGGACTGCAGGGAAAGGAAGGAGGAAGTGGCTTTTTCGGACACCCTACAATCACAAAGCCATTCTCCCTCACTCTGAAATTTCAGAGGCAGCATAACCCTCCTAAGCAGCTTGAGTGCACACACCCCTCCTGTTCTATGCTGGTGGAGAGCTCAAAGCAGCAACACCACTACGTGTTTTATCAAATCTGTGCTTAACTTCTCCCAGTACTGCTCAGGGAGGGTCTGAACACTGAAGGTACTCGTGTAAACTGGGAAAAAACGGGGAAAGAGGGAACAGGCAGCTCCAGGGAACCCTCACTGTCACAGCACTGCTGACACTGGGGGAGCAGCAGCCAGGGACTGACCCTGCCCTAAAGTGGTAACTTTAGGACCTTGATTACTGTGCAGAACTCAGGCAGAGGAAGTCAAATGTTCCCAGATCAGCACGAGCCTGATAAATTCAGACAGGAACTTTCGTGCCTTCCAGCTAGGTATTAATGCATCCTGGAAAAAAACTTTGTAGCAGTGAAATCCAAACTGCACACATTCCACAGCTGAGCTTATCTCCTCAATGGTTCCAAGGGAGGGAGGGGACTCAGTTTTCCAGCCACCCTGATGGCAATGGAGGATAGCTGCAGTACAACATCTGCTTTTCATGGCAACACCTCCAATCTCCTCAGTGAAATGTGGGGACTTGAGCACCACCATGGAAACAGGAGTTACATTACCCAAGGATGGCAAGGATATGATGTCAGTTTTAATTAGTACATTTGGCTTGAATATCTCATGGCACAGAACTATCTGTGCATCAGGCATGAAAATGTATTTTTTTTAAATGAACAAACCAACAAATGAGAACTTTAAAGAATATTTTTCACATTCACAGTCTCTCTTCGTAATGTCTTTATATGAAGTGAAAAACTTAGGAGCTGGTGACCATCCCAAATAATTACATTGCAGACAATCATCTTCTCATTCTAAGAACACACTCTAGAGCACATGTGGAACATACTTTCATACCTACACTGCACTACTTTTATTCAAGGAAACCAATGGAGAGCCCAACGTGACATTTCTTGGACCAACTCCAGCCCAAGATCAGGCCCAGCTGTAAAACAGAGATGTTTTTATTTCTTATTACTTCTAAGACCAGAAAGTTCTTTCCCCTACTAGGACTTCCTGTTGTTTAATAATTAACTGAAACTATTCTGGACTCAGCTCCAGTAATAAATATTGAGATAGGCAAAATACCTGTAAAACTTTTCCTTGATGAGTCTGCCTTAGAACAGTAAATCTGGAATTTTCACGGCGTATTTAACACTGGAGAAGCTTTAAGATTTAGTTAAACATATAATTATGTATCATATTTTTCACACTCGAGCATCTCAGCGCCAATAACTTGACGTGGGGTTTTGTTTAGGTTTATTTAGTGCCTGTGTATATGTTGTTTTACGTTGTTTTGTGGTTTGGGTTTTTATTGTTTATTCCGGTGTCTGCTTTTAGGAACAGACTCAGCTCACCAGAGCAGTTTTCACTGTGTACCTGGTGAGTTAATAAACAGATGGTGCAATTACAGTGACAAGCATCACACCAGAAAAGACCCAGAGAAAGAACAGTAAACAACTGTAAACAACTCTGACAAAGAACCCACCTCTCCCTCTGGTGTCACTCAAGGCTCCTCGTGTGACTGAGAAAAGCCTGATAAAAGATGAGCTGTCCCAAACATCACAAGGCTGACAGAAAGCCACTCAGACAAGAGACAAGATTACTTTTCAACCAAGCACTTTGAAAACCAACTAAGACAAAACTGAAGAGAAGCAGAACAGCCCCTTGGGGGTCTGCAGAGGGGCTCTGTTGAGCACTCCCACCCCTGGAAGTAGCAGATCAGATCCCTGGAAAACACCAGGAGCCTTAAAAGTATTTGCATCAGGTAGCAACAAAATAAATTTGAGGGACTTCCTGAAAAATGAAAGTCTCAGAAAAGTCAGCTCAGAAAAAATACATTATAGACAGACACTGTAGTATTCTCTGTTTATCAGCTCTTCACCCATTCCCATCATATATTTAGGAGTTAATTTAAGCATCCAGAGTATCTGAAAGGGATCAGGGGGGAAAAGAGCAACTGCAAACAATCATCCATACACACACACACAGAGTTTAGGATGTTTTCCACAACCTCCATAATGTGACAAGTGTCCTGGAAGGACACTGGCATTAGCACAGACCTTAAATGATAAGATTTGAGCCAATTTCCAGTGTTTTAAACAACCTTTACAGAAGCACAACCTCCATTTAGCTCAGAAAACAATAACTGCCACACAGCTTTTACTTAAAAGACAACTCCAGACAAGAAACATCCCGTTCAGGTGAGAGCAGCGCAGCAAGACACAGAATCTCTGGGTTTGGGTTTTGTTTTTTTTTTTAACTGCCCTGTGCAAAATTGTATTAAATTACTATGTATGCAACCATGAGAGATGAGAAACAGAGAAGAGCTATTTCCACTGGAGCACCAAAGGATGGTAAAGTGGACAGATGGAAATTATAGGTTTCTCTGGCCTGGCTATTATGATTCAAGAGTGCCAAGAGAAGAATAAATGTATTGTCATTTATACAACAGTCAGAAGACAGACAAGCATTAGCACATAGAGCAAAGAGCTGTCTGCATTTTCACAGTACTACAGATGTACTCCTGCCACTACATATACTGCAATAAATTGAAACTAATGTTCTTTTGTATAAGATTTCCAGTAATTACTTTGTTCTTAGTGACGATGCCCACAGACAAGCAAGGTGGTGTGTGTTTAATTTCACTGATCATTTCATTTGCTGAAACAGGTATTTATTGTCCAATTTAGGGTGTAGAAGGACATGCATTTCAAAGCAAAATCTCTATTTCAGTGTCTACCAAATGTTAACATTCAATATTGAGAAATGTAAATTACTTTTCATTTTCAATACTCCAATAAAATACCTTATGCACAGGGAAGCAAGCAAAGTTTTACATCATAAAGATATATAGATACACTTCTAGATCTTAACCTTTGTTGAAGAAATCCTCTATGATTTTATGTTCATCTGATCGAGGGAAGCAGAGCATTAGCTTGGATTTAGCAGGTTTAGGAGCAAGACTATTAATTGAGCAAAACTTCAATTACAGACTAATTTAATGTATGCCCAAGTACATTATTGCAATTCAATAAACACCTCTTCAGAATTAAACAATTCCAATTTGCTTTCATTTCAGCCCGTGCACCCGCATTACAAATTCCCTATTATTCCCATTAAAATGAGCCAGCCTGGCTGGAAGCACCCAGAGTGTCACAGGGCTGCACCACACTGACCTCCAGTGAGCCACTTCACCTTCCTGCCTCCTAACCAGCAATGAGGAGCAGGAGTGCACCTTTCCATAACAATATGATTCTCCTGAGGTTTCCTGGATGTGCCTGAGCAATCCAGCAATGAATCTACCAACATCTCTCCTGGTGGACATCCAACCAGTCGTGGGTCTGACTTATTCTGTTGCTTTTTCCCTGCTTATAACAACAAACATGGAAGTGCCAGACACCTCCTCCAGACCCTGAGCTCAGCTCAGCTGGTTAAAGTCTGGTGCTCACAACACCACAGCTGTGGGTTTGATCCCCTGAGGGCCATTCACTGAAGAGTTGGACTCCATGATCCTTGTGGGTCCCTTCCAACTCTGAATATTCTGTGAACTTGGAATATTCTGCTACCTGGTTGCTCTGGAAAACTGCCTTCTCTCTCTTCAGCTATGATCCCATCCTAGCTCTGCCACTCCTGGCAATTCCATCCCATTTTAGTCATGAATTAATTCCTCCAGATTTGAACAAGATGTGAGATCACCAAGTGGGAATTAAAAGCACTTGGCATCCAAAAGGAGCATTTTCTTCATGATCTGTGAAGTCTGAACATCTGCACCACACCACACTCCAAGGCATTATAAAGGCATCAGCACACTGATCATCAAATGACACAGTCAGTTGGCAGAAAGCAGCACAGTGGACAACTTGATCTCATTGTTACAGCTTCCTCCATTTCCAAAAAAAGTGAAACATGTAGAGCAATAAAATTATACTCTGTGAGGAGACCCTCACATCACCCCATCCCAAACATGAAGCATCTCAGGAACTACTCAGCCACTTTCTGATTTCCCCACTAAGAGTCACTGATGCAGCATCCCCGGGCTGCAGCTCAGGGTAAGTTTTAAAAATAAATAAATAAAAAAGCAGAACAGTGAACAGCACTTCAGCACAGGCCTCATGAAGGTGAGATTAAGACACACTTTGCACGTGTCAGGCACAAGTTGAGCTCCTGAATCACAGTAATTAACAGGGCTAAAATCCAAGCATCCCTCAAGAACTACTGATGCCTCTACTCCGTATTTCAGGACGTCAGCAGAATCAATCCCAGTATTTATTCCCAGCAGCCCCAAGCAGTCTCTCCTGACATGCAATGCTCCATCACAAGGTTATTAATGCCTAACAAAATACTGTAAAGTAAAGCAAATGAAGCTGACTGACAGCCAAACTCTAGCTGGCTACAGGAAGTCTCCACAGCCACCACACATTACTACAAAAGCTTACAAAGAGGGGCTGTGTCCAAAGTTTAGACTCAAATGCCCGTTTTAAGTCAGCGACTTAAATCCACATCCCTTTGACCTTTTTTTTTTCCTTCTTTTAACGAGAACGAAACAAGAAGGTCTGACAGAATGTCAATTTTTATACAGAGGAAACACTCCTCTTGCATGAAGTCGCTGCTTGAAAGCCACCTACCTTTCACAATGAGCTCTGCATAGTTGGACACTCCGGAGCCGCCGTCGGAGCGGATGACACAGCGGTACTTGCTGATGCTGCGCTGGGAGGTGTCGGCCACGCTCACCGTGGCCGAGAAACGCCGGTGGTTGACCACTCGAGTGACCATCAGGGCTGTGTCCCTCCCATTCCACTGCTGCAAGGGCAGAGAGAAATAACCCAGGTTAGGAAGACACGCAGATGATGCGTTTATGCATCCGTGTTTCATTCGGTCTTTGCCGTGCTTAGCGTCGGGCAGACCTTCGTGTTCGCGCTGAGAGGAGGGATTTTATGCAGGCACAGTTTTTTCAGGAGAAGGCTGACAGCAACACCCTGGAGAAATGCACAGGGTCCTGAATGTTCTCACACATATGTGAGGGTGGGGAGGCCCCGGCACAGGTTGCCCAGAGAAGCTGTGGCTGCCTCCCATCCCTGGGAGTGTCCAAGGCCAGGTTGGATGGGGCTTGGAGCAACCTGGGCTAGTGGAAGGTGTCCCTGCCATTTGGATGATCTCTAAGACCTCTTCCAAACCAGACCATTCTATGATTCTATGATATATTTAAGTTTTCACTTCTGTTTAATTTTTGAAACATTTTTGGGCACTTGATGTGTTCCAGGGATATGAAGATGGTGAATGGTCTAGAGGGAAAACCACAGTCAGAGGAGACTGAGGTCAGACCTCATCAGGGTCTGCAGCTTCCTCCTAAGGACAGCTCCAATCTCTGCTCCCTGTGAGCAGGGACAGGACCTGAGGGAACGGCTGGAGCTGTGCCAGGGAAGGTTTAGGTTGGATCTCAGGCAAAGGTTCTTCCCCCAGAGGCTGGTTGGGCACTGACCAGGCTCCCCAGGGCAGTGGGCACGGCCCCAAGGCTGCCAGAGCTCCAGGAGGGTTTGGACAACGCTCTGAGGGACAGGGTGGGATTGTTGGGGTGTCTGTGCAGGGCCAGGAGCTGGACTGGATGATCCTTGTGGGTGTCTTCCAGCTCAGGATATTCTGTGACTCTGTGATTAATGACTCCAAAGGCTGGAGAGTGACAGCTCTGACTGTGCAATTCCACACAGTGTAATTAGAGGCCCAGCTCGGATATGAAAACACAACAACTGAAGGCTTTGTGTACACCTGGGAAAACGCTACAAACAAACAGATTCTACAAACTTGGCATTTTCAGATGTAAAACTTTGATTCTGGACCAATTTAAATAAATTGGTTGGATGAGCAGACACCCTCATATGTCCAATATTCCTCAATAAACCTCTCTACCAATGCCAGACTACACTTTTCCAACTGGAAAAGGGACAGATGAAGAATTAGCTAGGAATAGTTCTCCACAGCATAAATATGTCAGCTTGCTCATTGGTCTAGTTTATTGGGAATTTCAAAGGAAAGCACACTGCTGTTCTGCTGGTTTCCAGTAATGAGGTTTTGGGGATGTTTCCAAGGTTATTTTCATTAAATGTTTCAGTTTTCGAGAATGGAAAACAGGTTTCCATTAACAACAATAACGATTTCTTTCCAAAACTCTGCTTCTCAAAGGGAAAGATTTATACTGTTCCAGGTCAGAACTGTTTTTACACACATCTAATCATAACTGAGGAAAGATTTCAGTGAAAGAACTAAAAAAAAAAAAGAAAAAAGATGAAGAATAAGCCAAAAATGTGACTCCATGAATGCTAGAAGTACACAACAGGTAAAGAAATTTCAGCTAAAAATGTGATTTTTAGTAGAACAGCTGTGATGAGAGCACAGTTACTGACTCTAATATAATTTTTTCATAATGCCAACTACATTTCCCACCAATTTAAGCCTTTTCCCCTGTACTGATTTTAATTTTTCTGATTAGGTAAACCAATTCCTTAAAATTTATTACAATGTCTGAAGTCAATTATAAGGTTTGACAAAATCTGTTAACTATTTGACTGCAAAGGCCCTTCCTCTCTGCCTCAGATGTTACAAACAGGGGGTGATCAGACCCTCAGTCACACCTGCCCAAGCTGAGAATAAAACCTGTTAACTGGCTTAAGTGTTCTGAAAATTTCTGTTGGCCCAACATACAGCCAGAGAATCCTCTTGACTTGTTTGGCATATGAAGCATTTAAGAATTCAACTATTTTAAACACTTCTGGAATGGTAATGCTGGGAGTCCCCGTGTCAGAGCACTTCCAAGGGCAGGAGAAACAATTTTGTCCTTCGCTGGGAAACACTCCCCGTGTTGATGGATGTTCAGGTTGGTGTCTGTTCCATCTCTAACTCTGAAAATGGATTCTCAAGGGTGTTACTGCACCCACACGAAGAGCAGGACCCAGACTCTCAAGTCCAACCAGTAGGCTGGACTTGACACCCAGAGGGGGAATGTTTTGGTCTCTTAGCGAGTGACTAAAATAATCTGCTGTTAACACAGCCAAGGGAAACTGGGAGCAAGAAACACAGTGGGTACAAACTCGGTTTGCCTGTTTTCACTATGCAGGTAAGTCATCCCAGACCTTAAAGCAGGTTTTCCTCTTACCATATTGTCACTGACTCCAGGCTAAGAACCTTTCTGGAGGGTGAGAGGAAAGCTGATTGCATAACAAGAAGGGAAGAGCTATTCGACTTGGTCTGTCTCCTCTGCTTTATGACTGAGTGTTTACAGGTACATGGGCATTTGTTTGAAACCAGGATTTTGCTGTCCTGGCCATTTTTTCCATTTTCAGTATCATGAGTCTGCACTTTGTCACCTTAAACTCTCACCTAGAAACTATTTAAGGCAATTCTCAAACAGTCTCAATGGAAAGACGTTGCCCCACCATGCAGTCTTCCTCTACCTATTCATTTTACTTGAAAAATCAGTGAAACCAAACCAAACCAAACCAAAGAGGAAAAAACACTCCAAAAGAGGTCATTACTTTACCTGGAGCCAGAGCTTGTCGTGCTGGGACCATTTCCCCCCAGCAATGCACTGGAACGTCGCGTTCTGTCCCACATTCACCTCCACGTTCTGGAGCCGCAGGAAATGAGGGGCTTTTCCTGACAAAAGAGGCAAAGTATTGCAAGGGTAGAGCAAGGCAGTGACTGACTGTGTTACACCACCCCAGAGGGGAACACTCAGCAAGGCATCAGGGCTGTCCTTGACAACGTGTTTTTGCAAAATCAATCCGTCCTTCAGTGTTTAACTACTCCCTGCAGAGAGAGGTGGGTGATGGATCTGAGGGAGGATGGCCTGAGGGATCTTAAGAGAGCCCTGGCACATCTAAAAAACACAGATTTGGATCAAATCACAAGTTCATGGTCACTGGCACAATTTCTTATTGCTTGCTATAAAGAGTGATTGAGTCATTTCTTTTCTTCAGAAAGCTGTGTTTTTAAAAAGGTCAAAGAAAAATCAAATGCTTCTGTGCTTGTCAAGCGTGACTGACCCAAACCACATTTTCACAGGGGTCTTTTCATCCTTTTTATTTTATTGACTATCAAATACGTCCTAGACCTTTAGAATAATGCATCATTAATATCAAATCAGATATGAAATGAAATATTCATATAACTGGCAGCATTGTGTCACTGGTTTAGCTGAAGATCACTGATGTCAGTGTTTTGCCGTTACTAAATTCAGCATTAGTTCAAAATTAAACCAGTGATATTAAAATGCAGACATGCAATTTGTTCACAAAGGACCTAGATCAGAGGATTATCTTTTTGACTAAATACCAGACTCAGTTACATCTCTAATTGAAATTACAAAATCATAAACAAGATTACAGCAGTGAGTCTGACACCTTTAAGCGACCATAGTTCTTGCCAGGCTTCAGAAGGTTTGGGCATCACTGGAAAACTTTTAGTAGGACACACTGAATAGCCTTGCAAGCCTATAAAGGTCAGAGTTTTTCAACTTCATGTTTACATTTTTTAGTATGATCAGACACTGATTAAATCCATAATTTCAGAGGATATTCCAACCTGTCTCCTTCTGCTGGAATCAAAGAGCTTGAAAAAAAATGTGGCCATCTGTGGCTGTGCATGAGGCTTGACATACAAATATTTGTGTACTGCAGACACATGAACAGAGAACACACATCTATACATCATGTCAAACATTTTTATCTACCTCTGTGTCCCCTTCACCACGCACTCAGTTTGCTGACAGCTCCTGAAGGACAGTGACTCTCTACCATCCTGCTTTCTCAGCATCAGGAATATGCATCAAGGTTTACTGGGTAACTACCTCTGGGTGACAGTCAGAGCATTCTACAGGGTATTCTCAGGCTAATTTTAGGAATTTCTGCCTGCAGTCTGCAGTGGGCAGCTCTAAGGCAGCTCCAAATACAAGGGTGCAGTCACACCAATCCCAAAATCCTGGTCCTGAGGTCTGCCCAGCTTCTGGAGCATGAGGCTGTCCTGTGATGGCAGGGGCTCATGCACAGAGCCAACAAGCTTTTAGTATAGTGACAATGGATATTCCAGTGCATTCCTTCACAGGACAAAGGGGGGGGGAAGGCAACAGCAGCAATATATTTATTTTTGCCCATTACTGTGTCATTGGGGGCATTTCCCTGTTTTTGCTGATATCTTGGTTTGGGGGCTGTACTGTCACCTGGGAAGGTAAAGCAGAGATGAAGAAATAAGAGCAATGATTTCAGTAACCTCCAGGGTCATCAGGAGCTTCGTGGTCCCTGTGTTTGGATTTATAACAACAATTTGTAAAACGAGCCTGAGGGGCAAAGCCTGTACACCACATTTACCCTGGTGACTGTCACTGCTGAACAACTAAAGCAACACTGGGAATACAACAGGAGAAGCATTTACAGGGACTGCAGAGAACTTGCAGCTTGTAATGACCTCTGTGTGCTGCAGGTTGCAAATGGATTAAAAAAAACCCAAACAAAACAACCCTGTTTGAATAATTTTGGTGTTGACTCTGCAAAAAAATGCCCTTATTTTTGAAGAAGGACCTGAATATACTTGGAGAAATGGGTTATTCACAATCAGTTTACTTAATGAAGCGTAACACAGCATGCTGCCTAACTTTTTAAAATCCCCTCATTTTCTTGTTGAGGCTTTGCCCCACGGTTTGTTCAGTGGCCTCTTTCCCAGCAAAAAGAACCAGCCATCACCCAGCAGGCTGTGAAGGCACACAGACCATTTGGGGATGTGTGTGGATGCTGCCAGTTATCAGCAACATCTGGTTAATACAGACTGTAAGTATTTCTTAATGAAGTAAATGCACCCAAAAGCCTGAGCAACGAGCACATGGTAAATACAAATATAATTTAGTTAAACAGCAATTAACCACCCTGCAGTTATCAGAAATGTCCTGTTAAACTTGAGCAGAACCATGTTTGTCACATTGAATGGCAGCTGTTCTTTGACATTCTGATTGCAGGAAAACCAGTTGATTTCACTCCATCAACATGTTTTTTTTTTTTTTTGTGAGCAGCTGTCACTGGTTTACTGAAACCATGAGCCAGTGAGAGGGGCTGTAAATAAAACATCTTTACAATAAACTGCATATTATATACATAATACAGGCAAAGTCCTCAAGCCACACTGTAGGTGCATAAAGAAACCAAACAAGTTCAGATTCAAAGACAGGGGCTCAAGACTTCTTTGAATGTAACAAATAACTAAATAAATTTAAACTTATTGTTGCAGCTGCAGTAGAAGAAACACAGCACCAACATTTACGAACAACTTAATGAACCTGCATTAGTTTCTACTCCTGTGCAAGTCCACTCTCTGAATAAGATTTATTTTAATATCTTTACAGGGGGTGCTGAGTGGGTTTAACATTTGTTGAGAGAGACTGACCTTTGGGACAGGAAACACTGAAACAATCTGGTGGCTCTTTTCTTAAGTCAACCACACAGGTCATTATGAGAACCTTTTTTTCAGGTTGTTTTCTACAGCAATGTGATTCAAAAATAATAAAACCACCAGTTTTATGTGTTCATAACAAGACAGGAAGAGAGAATTCCACAGAAGTCCTGGCTCTAGCTGGAGACTGAGAGACTTTTGCACAGCTGGCATAGTTGGGTAATTATGCAAGTCTGAGTGTCTTTAGGGCTCTTGGAGGGGACATAAGACATTTTAGTGCTGACCCAGTGGAGTAAATCACTCCTTCAGACTGCAAAGCCTGGCATAAAACACATCAATAGAGTCAGAAAAACAAGGAGTGCTCACTGCATGGATGGGCGAGAACTCTGACTTCATCCACTGCGATGTACCCGGGGTGTCCTTTCAGAGACACCGACTCAAAGATCACCTGAAACACAAAAGAAAGGAAAAAAGTTCTTAAAAAGAACACCTACATTAGTCATTTCACCATATTCTGCTCTTATTCCAGTGTCTGAGTCGTTCAAGGCATTTAATCATTAATAACAAAGGGATAATACCAGGGCAGTTCAGTCTGTACAAACAATGCAAATCTGTTTGGTGTGGAAAACAAAAATTTAGAGCAACACTCATTAGGATTAGAGATAACTGTGTGTGTCTCTGATTTGGAAAAGCAAAAGGTACCCTGTGTGTACACACACACCTATATTCACTTTAAGCAGCAGTCTTAGAACATTAGTGAATAATCACTTGACATCTTGCTCTTGGAAAATTGGAGAAAGCTGTACATGAATAGAATTCTCTTACTGAATCAGTAACTGTGCCTGGATTCTCTGGGGGAAAATCTTGATTGGACATGCAGGCCCTTGCAGGATTAGAAAGCAAATTATGAGCAAAGGATGACACTGGATTCCAGTTACTGGACTGAAATAAGATTCTCCCAGATAAGTTGTTTCTGCCTTTCCCTGGATTGAATATCATGATCTGAGAAGGAATATTCTTAAAAACCACATGTAGCATTTCACTACATTAATGGTACACTAACTAGCATTTTTTTTACTATTTACATATCTGGATAATGAAGGCATTCCACTAATTTGGGTCTGAAAAGACAGATATTCAATCACAGATGAACAAAAATATCATTCCGCCCTATGGGTTTGTGATTTTTACCTGGAAAGCTGCCCTGAAGTATCCTGTTACTAAAAATATACAGGAGAGCAGGTAAAAAGACAACAAAACAACCAAGCTAAAAAAGTGATAAAGAGATCATTAAAACTAATTTAACTGCTGACCTCCTCCAGGGAGGCAGTGGAGGGGAAGGTGCTGATCTCACTCTGGTGACAGGACACAGGGAAATGGAACAAAGCTGAGTCAGGGCAAGGTCAGGCTGGACATCAGGAAAAGGAAAAGACCTCTAGGAGGGAGGTCTGACCCTGGAACAGGCTCCCCAGGGAAGTGGTCACAGCACCAAGCCTGTCAGAGCTCATGGAGCATCTGAAGGACACTCTCAGGTTGGGTTTTTGGTAGCCCTGCAAGGAGCAGGGAGTTGGGCTCCACGATCCTTATGGATCCCTTCCAGTTTGGATCATGCTGTGACTCTGCAAGGAATGGGAAGCTTAGAAATGTTAAACTGCAACAGAAAAAAGAAAATTGCAGGCTGATTATCACTCAAATCAGTGATTCTCTTCCCCAAGGAATGAAGTGCTATCCTCTACTATGTTAAAAACCTGAATGGGTGGAGATGTAATGGATTCTGTCCCTGCATTTGAAAGGGATATCCCCAGTTTCATTCCATCCTACTGAAGGAATGTTCACACTGTACTGAACTGCTCATTTTTGCACGAGTATAAGGTTTTCAAGGGCAGAGTTAATTAACACATTCAGCTGGCACAGCTACTGTCATTACAGCAGTGTTCTAGTGCAGCTCCTTGTTCCAGCGGAGAAAGGATTCCAGTAATTTGTAACTTCCAAAATTCACTACCAGAACACAAAGTTATCTATTTAAAACCAGTTTTCAACACTCATTTTCATTTTAAATAAAAGATGGCATTTCCAGTCTGTCACTGTTCAGCTGCTTCTTCATCTCCTTAATCAGAAGATTTAATACAGTAAGAGGTTCAACTGCTGAAATGCTGCTCACTGCAAGCCCTGACTCTGAATTTAGACCACTATGGCCTTCCTAAGTGCAGAATTGCTGTTACTAATTTCCAGAGCATGATTCCTACTCGTGTTTTCATGACTAAGATCTGCTCCCCGACTCAAAACACAGCCAGATGTGAGATCTCCTGATCATGTTAAAAAAAAAACCCAAAAAACCAGAACATGATAAAAACAGGTAGAACATAAAAATGAACTGGCAAAGCTAAAAAACAAGAAAAGTTCAAGTGTTAACAATCTGTAGAAACAAAGTTCTGCTCCAGAGGAGACTGGACAACAAGGAGACTGGTTGTCCAAGGAGCCCTGGGAAGCAGCAAGTCTCTGGAAGATATAATCTATCAACAAGTGTTTTGTGTTATCAAAGTCCTTGATAGGCTTTTTAGGGACCATATAAAATAACAGTGTGAAACAGGAGCCCTTAGTATGGAAATCATAATTAGTTTAGAAATTAAATGTCATTCCTGATAAAAATTACACTCACTGGGAAGGTCACACAAGGCACTGCTGCAACTCCCTTCAGGCTTGAATTAAAGGGCAACATTAGAGCTACAAAATCTTATTTTAGTTTTCCATTTGTGAGAAGCCAAAAGCCACAATAAACTGAATTTCAACTTCCTGCAAGAACTTGTGAAGAAAACTACTCCAAGGCATTGGCATCAGCTACTAGTGTGTGGCAAGAGTAGGCACTGATACACAGAGAATTGTCTTTGGTTAATTCCAAATATGTACAGGGTCTTCAATAAAGCACAAGGTAATTTAATCCAGTAACAACAGTCAGCCTCTAAAAAAATCCATGTACACTGGTGCAAAATCCACTGAGCAGAGGATTGCTCTGACCTCAAGCAATATTGTGTGACTATTTTATTCTCTGTTCTGTGTCACACTCAGATATTCTTGTTATTTCCCAGCTCAAACTTCCACGCTCTGTTTTTTTTCTATGTTTTGCAGCATCTCTATCAAAGTGAGCAGCATGGAAGCATCTAGGCATTCCTAAAAACAGGGAACTGAGACCCAGCATGAGGAAAAGGCAGGAATAAATGCTTAGGGGGCCCATTTCTACAAATTTCACACTTAGTATCGCTCATGTCCTTTTAAATTCAGCTGGAAATGCAGCAGAATGGTTGAGAAAGACATTCAACAACGCCTTGCACTTAAGGAACCTCTCAGAAATTAATAAAGATGACAAAATACCAAGCTTCACTCTTAAAAAAAACACCCTTAAATGCTCCTGAGAACTGCAAATACAAAGCCATTTCATGTTTCCTCACCAATAAACAGCCCCACATTTCAGGGCTGTGATTTACCCACAATGTCTGTGTTAGCAGCTCATCTGCTGTGGTACAACAGTTTTCTCCAGGCCTGGATCAATAACACTCCTTGCTATACATCAAAAAAACACCTTCCTGCCAGGCTCTAGTGCTGCCCTTGGTGCATTCTGGGACTGAGTTCATCCTCGTGGTGAGCAGTAATTCAAGATTACAAGTATTACCTTTCTCCAGGAACTATTAACGGCGTTTTCTCGTTCCACTAAAACCATTTGCAGGCTGGGAATCCAAGTGCAAGTAACTCTAGGGCAGGCATGATAAATCTCCACCAGCCCTGCATTTCTGTCTCAGCAGAGTGGTTTTTGCAGCCAGATGACTCCTGTGACCCTTGCAAAGAACTGCCAGACCTAAAACGTGACCTCTGGCAAATGGCTTGGATAACTTTTCCACCAGTCACATCTCCAAGGCTCCAAGTACTCATCGAAGCCCCAGAGCCAGGGCAGAGAGCTCCAGGTTTGTTTTTTCCCTCACAATTCAGGATGGTGAGGTTTCTGTGCATTAAGAGTATAATCCACATTTTGCCCGATGCACACTTCAATATTTAGGATAAATGCTGGTTTTTCCCACATTACCCCGTGCTTTCAAAACACAGAACATGCTCTCAGGCCTCTTGCAGACAAAGAGTTCTCCAGGACTGCAATTTTCATCTGAGGCTGACAGATAAATGGCAAATGTGAAGGTGGGGAGGCCCTGGCACAGGTTGCCCAGAGAAGTTGTGGCTGCCCCATCCCTGGAAGTGTCCAAGGCCAGGTTGGACAGGGCTTGGAGCAACCAGGGATGGTGGAAGGTGTCCCTGCCCGTGGCAGGGGGTGGGATGAGATGAGCTTTGAGGTCCCTTCCAACCCAAACCATCCTAGGATTTTATTAAATAACACTCCACTGGCACACCCCAGACCCTGAGAGTGAAATGAAACACTCCTCAGGCAGCAACACAGCCAAGCTTTTTTTGTCTTGCCACCTCTGGACTCCTTTAGCAATAAGTGCTACTTCAGGCTGCCAAATACTGATAATTTTTCCTCTTTGTTTTTGCAAGCTTCAAGTTTCCTTTTTTCTTTATTTTTCTATTTTTTTAAACCTTGATTAAACATAGAAGCTCACAGGACTGCAGACCATCAACAAGACAGTTCATAAAATCAGGGACTGAAGACAGATCAGTCTCCTAGACCCCCAGAATAGTGGGACAGATCTCACGTTGTAAAAGCCACGCTTAAGGAATAATAATGTAAGTATAAATAGAAGGAAACATCACTCTGACTCACCAAAAAGTAAAAAAGAAGCCCCTTTGCATTTTCCAGGAAGGAGCTACTCCTGGGCAGTAACTGCTGCCTTCCAAACTGTTCATTTTTGTGCTGCAGTGGAAAATTCTTGTTTGATTTAAAGGATTTTTTTTAACCCAGGAAAAGCAAACTTGACCTGCAAAAGGACTTGTAAAAGACCTAAGTGAGGGCTCAGGAAGCCCACTATTGATATATCTGAGAGCAGGATCCCTCTTAGTGCCAGATCAGACTGGCTTTTCCAGGTTTTTCAAGCACTGATTACACAGGTGAAAGATCATTCCTGTCATCTCTGGGGAGCAGCTCCGAGGAAGCAAATCCTGGTGCAGGAGCAGGTTCTGTTAATTCAGATGGAGCAGAAGCACTTCAGTGTGAGCCTTCAGAAAGGGGACAAGTTGTGCATCTCTTCATCCCTTCCTCTCATGGATTCTGCCCATATCCACAACTCTTTCAGAACATTAAAGCCCTTCTGCTTCAGCTCAGATTTTACAGACCTCCTACCCAGTTATTAGAAGCAAAAAAAAAAAAAAGAGGTTTTTCTATCTGCTGCTTTCTACCCACAGACTATTTGCTGCCTTTTCATAGTTTGTTCTGTCTTAATTCCTACCTCACTCATGTCTTTTATTAGTATCATATGTACATCAAATTTCCTGCAAGGTTTAGGATGCAATTACCTGCCAGGATTTTTTCTTTTGTATGTCTTGAATATAAAACAACACAAAAATACTCCTTCAACACTTAACAAGAAATATGTGAGTCCACTGTGTCCAAATTTATCTAACTAAAATTAAAACAATGGCTGCAAAGTTGCCACATGGAGTTAGAAGTGGGTAACTAACAAGTAGATGTAAAATTAATATAACCAGAAAACCAATTTATTCATTGCATTCCTCTACTTCATGCTTGGTTCAAAAATAAAATTTTAACAGAATAAATAAAACTAGGTTACAAGAAATGCTAAGAAGAAGAGGAACTGAGGATCTGGTGAAGAACATACTTATGTTGATACCACGGTACAAGATTTTATTAGTAGCTCATTATGCTACCCCCTCATGTGGACACAGGAAAAGTCCAGATGTAAAGCTGAGTGAAGAAATATTACTTCTTATGGAATCAACCAAGGGCCAAAATAGTTCAGGCAAATTTATGCAAAGTACAGTTACACATCTAGAAACTCAGTTGTATTTACAATTACACAGGGCCACGGAAAGTGCCAATACAAGTTGGTTTATGTGCCCATTCTATCATGAACAAGGGGCTTCTAACTTGTTAATAATCTGACTCTCATCCATCACTCTGTAACCTGAAAACAACTAAAGAGAAAGGGTGAAGTGGGAAGAAACATGTCAAGATATAACCACCATACACGAATTTATCTGGATGGGAAAAGGTCGAGAGTCGATTTACAAAACACCTCTTGCTAACAACGGACGTTCAAAGGAAAGGGAGAGAAAAACACAGCAGACACATACCTGATAAAAATGTGGCCAGAAGGTGCTGATGGCCAGCTCTGCCTTCACCCATCCCTCCGTCACGACTCCCGAGACATTCCAGATGGGATTGCCCTGGGGGCCCCCGTTCACCTTCACGTAGACGTTGAGGGAGCCGGGGCTGGACCGGTCTCTGCTGGACAGGTAATAGTGGAAGTCGATGCAGTGGGTGTCGTTCTCCTTCAGGGTGGGCAGCAGCAGGTGGGCTTTCTGCCCTGATGCTCGCCCAGAGCTGTTCACCATCATGAAGGAGCCTACGGGGGAGAGGCAAAAGAGGAGAGAAAGTGGGTTTGCTTGGCTTTTTCGGTGTGAACGGCTCCGTTTTTACACTCAGCGACTCCCTCAGAAGGCACAAACCACAGCATTCATCTGAAGAACTCAAACCAGCTATTTGATGCACGTTGTTAGGTAACAGAATGAAAGGATATTAAAATTGCAGGGTATGTACACCAGTGGATTCAGGGCCAACTAGAACCACTTTAGTTGGGTAACTTAAAAATCAAAATCAAAGTACCGTTTAGCTTGTGTTATTTTAGCCCCTTGTGATAAAAGTCACTCCAAATAAAAGCCCATTCCCACTTCAAGCAGCAACAAGGTTCTCCTACTGCATACAGCCCCTGAAAGGCATATTTAATACAAGGTAACAAGGGACAGGATGAGAGGAAATGGCCTCAAGTTGTACCAGAGGAGATTTAGATTGGATATTAGATAAAATTTCTTCATGGAAAGGGCTGTAAAGCACTGGAATGGACTGTCCAAGGAAGTGGTGGAGTCCCACCTCCGGAAGTGTTCAAAAAATGTGTAGATATGACACTCAAGCACATGGTTTAGTGGTGAACATGGAGGTGTTACTGGGACTTGATGATCTTTAAAAGTCTTTTCCAGATTTAACAATTCTGTGATTTAATACGAAAACTACGACAACAGACAAAATTCTCAGCTGATATTTGCCCACGTGCCCCTGCCCACTTCATGCCAATCTACGCCTGTGAACCCTGGCTTTTGAAAGTTCTGAAGGCTGTGTTGAGAAAAGCCCAATTTTGAGAGCCCAGACGAACGAGGCTTGTTGGCAGAAGAGCAAAATCTCGACTTGTAATAATGCAACAGGCCAATTATTCTTGTAGGAGGGAAGGCAGGCTGAATTTAGGGAGGGGAATATATAGTAAGGCAATTTATGAGTTTGTTCACCTGGAATCTTGCATCATATTAACCACGGCACTCGATGTTGAACTCACATTCTGATTCATCAGGCAGTTATTTTATAGCACATCGTGCCTCGACTCATCTCCTCACAGATGCATCAAGGTGACAAATGTTGGCAATAAGGTAGAACATTATCAGAGTTATTTGATTCAATTCTGTTTAAAGGATCTCCTTTATGTGGGCACAGACACTCACACTCAGAAAAAGATGGAGAAAACACTGAGACACTGGAGTGTGGGGGGGAATTCTGCGTGTCAGCAGCCAGGAATGAGAGTTTTTCATCAAGCACAGCCCTCTTGACACTCTCAGCTCTGATGCTGCTGCCAAGGCAATGCTACAAATGTACAATGCTCAGAAGACTTGAGCTTGAAAAGTCCTGTCTCACTTCTGACCTTTTGACTTCCCCTATTCCCCATCCTAGCAGGGTGACCACACAACCATTTGGATCAATTCTGTGCAGTGAACAGTCACATGTTTGAAATTTATAACAGGATGAGCAACTTTCTCTCATGAAAAAATGTTTTTTCCCCCTGTGTTTATATGATATATATGCATTTTGTAAAGGACTGACAAGCACGGATGCAGAAGGAAGCCAATCTCTAAAAAAAAAAGAAAAAGAAAAAGAAAAAAATCCTACACTCTAAAGACCTTGGAAAATTCGAGTACAATAAGCACAGCTGGGGAAGAGGCTCTACAAGAAACAGGAAAATTTATAGGCAAGATGGGCTCTGGCAATCCTGTCCTTCATTTTGATATGCTGAAAACCAAAATGGCCCCAAATCAAGAAGTTCCAGGTTCACATTTTTTGAGAAATGTACGAGCTGAATCCAAACTTTTCAATTAGAGTTTCTCTCTAATAATCAGGATCCTGACAAATGTCCAAGGCTGGTGTAATTCTGCTACCAGTTAACCACAAAATCCTCTTCTTCAGCACGTACCACATCCAGACTATTCCTAAAAATCGACCCAAATAAACTAAACTTTTGAGACACTGAAATTTGAGTTCTGTTTCTATGACCTGAGACAATAAATTATCAGAAAGCACAACTGCCAACAGGCTTGGAGAGGCAACAGGGTGGAAACCTGGAACAACTAGGTTTGGTAAAAGGCTGATTGTGACACTTCCACGAGGGCTGGAGCCCCTCAGCTCTGGAGCCAGGTTGGGAGAGCTGGGGAGGTTCAGCTGGAAAAGAGGAGATGTTAGAGATGCTTCCAGTGCCTAAAGGGGCTCCAGGAGAGCTGGAGAGGGATTTGGGACAAGGGATTTGGGACAGGACAAGGGGAATGGCTTTAAGCTGAAGGAGGGTTGGTTTAGATTGGATATTGGGAAGAAATCCTTCCCTGTGAGGGTGGTGAGGCCTTGCACAGGTTGCCCAGAGAAGCTGTGGCTGCTCCATCCCTGGAAGTGTCCAAGGCCAGGTTGGACGGGGCTTGGAGCAACCTGGGCTAGTGGAAGGTGTCCCTGTCCATGGCAGGGGGTGGAACAAGATGATTTTAAGGTCCCTTACAACCCAACCCATTCCGGGATTCCGCAGTCTCTGTCAATACACAGCCTGTCTCATCTTCCCTTAAAAATAAAGCAGGAGAAGCTGCAAGAACCACTTTTCTCCAGAGAATTTGGGAGAAAAGCCTGTAAAATCTGCTGACTAAGGGTAGCATGGCCTAGAAGGGCACAACATCCACAAGGTTTTTGACCAAGTGCCTCCTGTAGTGGACAGGAACCCAGAAAAACGGGTTTTTACAGCATAATTGACTGGATCCTGTGGCACAGCATTCCACTTCTGGGCATCTTTCTCAGCTCTTTTTAATTTGGATCATATGTAGATTATCCTACCCTAAAGAGCTACTCAGAACCTGCACTGTGTCTAACATAATACAGTCCTGAGCAGCAAAGGGGGAGGGAAGTGTTTCAATGACAGAAAAAGTTAGGGAGTGTTTCACTTTTACAGGTTCATATATAAAAATAACGAGCTTTCCTCCGGGAGAAAAAAAGCATCAGCTTTTATAAAAAGTTCCAAGCAATAATTACAATTTTATTTTTTGCCACCCACAAAAAATGAATCACAATCTCTTAGCAGTGACAACAGCCTTTTGTGCAGCTGCTGACAATTCTGGGGAGAGTGTGGAGCCTGAATCCAGCACTGACAACACCAGCAAGGAAAGTACCCATGCACCAAAAAGCACTTAGTAAAATAATTAGTTACTAAAAAATAGCCTTACAAACAATTGTCACGGGCAAATTATTCACAGCTTCCTATTTATAGCATGTGATTTTTTTTAATGCAACACTTCTAGAGACAGAGGAGGAAACAGTATAAGAAACATAACTGTCTCAAGGAAAGTCCTGATAAGAGGCATGATTTTACATGACAGTGGAAAAGATGAAAAATTTCCACTTATAGTACCATGTCTGTCACAGGAAAGTACTCACTTTGGGTTTAAATGAGTTTGTCATCTACTGACTGTACCACAGGCCTTGTTTCTGCAGGGACTTGGTGTGGCAGCTCCCACCACAAACCCTTCCCATGGTTAGTCCAGGCATGGCCCACACCAGAGGATCTCACAGAGCCACCTCCAGCCTGGCCATGCTGGGGAAGAAAACTCAGAGTTCCATCAGGACAGTCATTGCTGTTGGGTGCAAGGATATGAAGATCTAGAAAATTCAGCTGTGAATAAATTATACCCTGTAAATCGGCCTCCAAATACGCACATTTTCATTTTTCTTGTCACAGAGTGAACCTGAGCAGGTATCCTGTCCTCTGGGGCCTTCACAAAGTTGCTCTACATGCTCCAAGATCCACTATCCTACTAAAAACATCCATGTCCAGTTGAGCTTGTCTGGGTAGGATCCACCACTTAGGGGCAGGTGAGAGATCATAAAAATAGTTCCCAACGGGAAAAAAATAAACCAAAACCAAACTTAACTGGCCTTTTAAAGACAAAGGAGGTTTTCCTTATAATTTCCTTATTCCCTAATAAAAATTGACATATTGTGATTCAGAGTCTGACAGCCTTCTTTAGGCTGAGCACAGAATTGAAGCTGATGGGACTTATTCCCAATTTATAGGCCTGTATGTGCAAATAAAGGAGATACAATCTGGCCTGGCACCAACAAATCACTTTTCACATTCTCCACTTATACAAAGAACTGGGGAATGAATTAATATGTCACAAAGGGAAATTATTGATCAACAGGTGACTGAGAGCCTCCTAAATGTCTCCAGGCAAGCAGCTGAATAAAATAAAAGGTATCTTGGAGAAACTCTTATTTAAGAGCTTTGCATATCCAGTTGGGAAAAATAGTAACGGAAGAAACAAAAATATCATTTAGCCTCACTGTTTTGTTTACTTCCATCCAGAAAAGTTCAAATGTCAAAGTCAACACTGAACTGAAAAAAATTAGTTTGAGGGGGGGAAAAAGCTTCTCTACGCTGTGTAAGAGTTATTTTCTATGTTTATTGGATACAGAAGCATAAGCTCATTAAAACAAATTGAATATCGGGTCAATTAAACTTGGTGCTCCCGGATCAACAAGTTAGATTAATTAATATCTTGCTGTTTTTACTCTGAATAACTAAAAATGATCGTGTTATGCCCAGATCAGTCAGGAGGAAGGAGGACAGGAAGACGGTAAATAAATTCACTTTCAAAAACCCGCTCCAGCGGCAGCAACATAAAACGCCACTCTCTCCTAGTTATTAAACATAGCACCGAAAATTGGGGGATTAAACCATGAAGTGCTCTCTAGCTGGCCATAAATTTCAATTTTTCCCCTGCTTGGTGCATAATGATGCCTTGATAAGCGTCCTATTATTGATGCATCTGCAACACATCCCGTCTTTCTGGAGCTGAAGCGCTGCTCTGCAGCAGATGGTGGCCATTGTGTTTACACATCAGCACTTTATGATTGCGTTCCCTCACGTCTGCAGTAAAGAAGAAAGCTGTAATTGAGTTTTTAATGGCTTTGCACATTGTTCATTAACATTACATGAGTGTGTTCTGACAAATGACAGCTGAAGGAACGTCATCGCCCAGCAGACCTCGGC